GGGTTGTTGTTAAGGAGCTTAAATTAAGTTACCATAATGGTATATATATATATAGTAAATTAGTAAATAATAGGGTTTCCCCAATATAGTAACTTAAATTAAGTTCCTTAACAGCAACCCAGATAAGGTCTACGTGTTCTGGGAACGGAATCTGTGTATCTGGCTGTTCTGGCTGTCTACTGTGATTCTCCTTCAACCTATTCGTTCCAGAAAATCAGAGAATCTCTATCCATCAGAAGAAATTCATGGTGATCCATCACCCTTTGTAGTCAAACAGCATCTCAATGATCGATGCCTTGTCTGCTTTCAAGGTTTACCTTGATCTCGATATGCTTCAGTGGTACTGTGGCACATGTTACCCAAACTCGGAAGAATATCTTCTTCTTACGCGGCACTATCACTCAAAATGGGCAAGGGTTTCTGAAACCGATATACTGCCTACATACCCCTTAGTAGTTTCCATTTTCTTTTCCATTATTCCCATATAATCCCTATGTTACCCTATATAACCAAAACCTTGAACCCTAATCCGTAAACCCTAACCCCTACAACCTAATCCCTAAACCCTACACCCTAATCCCTAAACCCTAAACACTACACCCTAATCCCTAATCCCTGAACCCTACACCCTAATCCCTAAACCCTGGCCCTACACCCTAAACCCTAAACCCAAAACCCTATAAACCCTACACCCTAAATCCCTAAACTCTTCCTCCCCAACATGCTGAAGCCTCGGGCTCTGCTCGCTGCTGCACTACCGCTGCTACCTCCTCCAACTCGCGACTCCTGGAAACTGGGGGCTTCGGATTTAGGGTTTATAGGAGTTAGGGTTTAGGGCTTGGGATTTAGGGTTTATAGGGTTTAGGGTGTAGGGCTTAGGATTTAAGGCTCAGGGTTTAAGATTTTGGGTTTAGGATTTAGGGCTTGGGGTTTAGGGTTAAGGGTATATTCTAATATTTTCTAGTAGACTAAGGGTTATATAGGGGTTATAGAAGGATACTGGAAAAGAAAATGGAAGCTACTGTACGGCTTCAGATCCAAGACCACAAGAAGTTCTTACCCTATATTGCCCCAAGATATACACCTATATAACCCCAATATGCTATAGTCTATAGTAATTCCCATTGTCTTTTCCGTCATGCCCATATTACCCCAAGATATAACCCTATAGAACCCCAGTTTCTATGTCACGTTCCATGTCATTTTCCATTTGATGCTCCATTATCCCAATCTTGACCCATACTATACAGTGGCAAGAACACGGGAATGAAGGAGTATGATTCCAAAAGGGAGTACGGGAACAGGACAGAGATGGGCATCAGGACCTGCATACAGCACAGGAACAGTGCAGCAAAGCGGATAAGAGGTACCTACACTTAGAAAACTGCATTCCAGGACCCTCCTTGTACCCTTAATTGGGGATATATGGTCCCTAATAATGGGTACTTAGGCCCTAATACATTGCTGTGGAATCCCCCAGCCTCGTCTAAAACCACCTTGAAATGCCCTTGGGGTGACACATCAGGCAAGGCCTCAGATCCGCTTGCTGCTTTAGCTGGGAGTGCCTCCTCTCTTCCTCCTCAGCAGGCATGGTAGATCCTAAGATCAGGGTTTAGGGTTTAGGGTTTAGGGTTTAGGATTTAGGGTTTAGGGTTTAGGGTTTAGGGTTTAGGGTGTAGGGTTTAGGGTTTAGGGTTTAGGGTTAAGATCAGCATGATCCAATGTCATGACATTGAGCTGTGATGTGGCTTTTGAATTCAAATCTTCTAGAATGAAAAACCTAGAGTTATTGACACTACACCTATAGTCCCTTTTAAGTAGCTACCCTACAAAACCCAAGAAGCAGGAGAAGAGCAAGAACCCTGAAAAAATCAGAACTCTTGGGGGGTCATGGGGACTTAGTAAGTAGGTTAATTATGGGAATATTTCTGGTTCTTAGGGGCTTCTAAGGGTTATTAACCTACTTACCAAGTCCCCCTGACCCCCCCAAAGCACAGCGCCCTCCTTCGTCTGCTGCTGCTTCCACCACTCCTCCTTGGCTTTGGTCGGGCTCACCTGCGGCTCCCTCTCAGGGTTTAGGGTTTAGGGTTTAGGCCTGATTTGCCATGACTGGGTTGCTGCTAAGGAACTTAAAGGAAGTTACGAAATAATGAGGAAACCCCATTTTTTACTATACATACCCATACTATAGCAACTTGAACTTAAGTTCCTTAGCAATGACCCAGACCAAAGGCCCTGCCAGCCCGGGGCCTCCCGATCCGGCTCCCTGACGAGGTCTTGAGGGCCCTGACAAGCTGAGAAGGCTTCAACTACTTCAGGCTGAAAGCAAGCTGGTCGGTACAGCAATTTTGGGGGGTTTCCCAAAATTAGGGGTACCCTTTTGGGGGTCCCAATAATAAGGATTATAGTATATTGGGGTCTATATTGGGTTTCCCTTGTTTTGGGAAACTACTATTTAGATGATTTAGGCTTTAGGGTTTGGGGCTTTGGGCTTAGGGGCCCATAGACACACTTCTACTGCAGGAAGTTGTCGCTACCGCTTCTCATCATCTGTTGTCACAGGAACCTCAAGGAAAAGGAATCAATGAAACAACGCCGGGTTCAGCATGACTCCTTTGAGTTGCGTCCCGAACTTCTGAACACTTCGGAGGGATCGTGGCCTCGTTTCCAGGTTACGCCTGCCTGTCCCTGAGAAAGCGACATGGTTCTGGTTTAGGGTTTAGGGTTTAGGGTTTAGGGTTTAGGGTTTAGGGTTTGGTTCTTTGTGCCAGAGAACTCTTCATCACTGCCGAGAGCTGACGAAGAAAGAAAGAGGGCAACAAAACACTTAGGATTTAGGGTCTAGGGGTATATCACCCCCCCAAGAATGGAGAATCAAATGGAAAAGAAAATGGAAAAGAAAATGGAAACTGGGATTATAGGGTAGTTTATAGGGATTAGGGGGGTTTCCCAAAAGTAGGGGTACCCTTTTCGGGGTCCCCATAATAAGGACTATAGTTTATTAGGGTCTATATTGGGGTCCCCTCATTTTGGGAAACTACCACATAACGACATAGCAAGAGAGAAAGAGAAAGGAAGACCAACAAACACTAATGCCCGAATGCCACGAGAACTTTCGTTAAGATTCGAGCCATAGCCTGCCTGGTGCACAACATCTGCGATTTCGTAGGGCCTTGCGCCATCCTGCATGGCAATCATCGTATTGGTTCTTAGTACGGAATAAAGGAATAATTGTATCAAATAGCGTTTTTTTTAGGAATACATACCCAAATTCCCTACTAAGAACCCGTAAGTCATTGCAATTGCTGTGCAGGTGCTGGGTGTCACATGGCAAAAAATCTGCGCAGCCTGCCTCCGAGTCGTCCGAGCGCGGGGAGAAATTCAGCGGCGCGTCGCTCTGCGACGGGGCACGCCACTATCTAGATTATGGTATATTCTAGTACGTGCTAGTACATTGTAGTACATTATAGTACATAGCCAATTCAAGGACATGGACAGCTTTGTCATCACTCGCAGGCAGTCGGAGCATCTGTGCATTTGCTCACACGGAAGTCTATACACTGCCGACTAATCAGCGATCCAAAAGAGTACATCAGGCATCAGCTTCAAATGGAGCTGCAGCCTGAAGGGTGGGAGCCGCGCTAAAGGCGGTACCAGCTGCCAGGCTTGGGACCAATAGCTTAGCTATACCGGGCCGGGGCCTGGCCATCTGCAGCTTCCCGAACTTCCGCGGCTCAGTCCAGCTCCTTCAAACTGGAGCCTTCCACCGGCACACCCTGTACGACAGGGCCTGAGGCCCCAGCCGCAGGCACGCCCACCGCAGGCGCAGCCGGCGCTGCGGTGGGTGCCGCCGCGCCGCCGTTCAGGGCGGCGCTGAGGGCCGCAGCCCTCGGATCGTGGGCATTGGCTGCCAGGACGCCTCCACAAAAGCAAACGGATGCAATCAGGCAAGGATCACGATTAGCGTCAGATTCCGCCAACTGTACATGAATTTCGAGTGCGAGCTCACAGCGATGCAGTGTCCGGCCTTGCAAGAGCGCCTGCCTCGGGTCTGGCTGCGGCAAGTTGCCTCCCGCCTGTGGAAGAGACTGCCCTGGCAGCAAAAAGAAATGGCTTTGTGGCTTTCCTCCAAATTCTTTTCATGTGAGCTATAGTCGAAACTCCTAGTATTCCACTTGATTTGCCCTATAATACTCCCCTACATAATCCCCTATACATAGAACCCCCCCCTCTAAGGAGAAATGAGACTACAGCTCATGTGACCTGCATAGCCTTGCAGGGCTTCGCTGAGGAGGTCGGACACCGTCGTGGAGGGGGCCGCCGGGACCTCGCGCAAGATGCGCGAGACCTCAGACAAGTCACATTGGTGTCATTTTGGGGTTCTGTTGGGGTTATCTTGAGGTTATATTGGGGTTATATTGGGGCTTTATTGCGAGAATGGAAAATTATATGGAAACTACTATGATGTAACAGGGGCCCACCCAATATCTGGCTTGCTAGAATGAACCCAAGACTCCGTGGCTATGAGAACACAAGTACCTTACTTGTTTAGTAGGGAATAAGGGGATATAATCCCTACATAGCCCCTATAGAATGTACTCGCCTATTCCCAGCTAAGAACCAGCAAACTAAACTGCAGGTGCTAAGTTGTTGTTATGATATGAAATCCCTATATAATCCCCATATAATCCTCTCAGGAAGGAGGCCCGCCTCCTCCGGGCTTAGCAGCTGGGCTGGCGGGGCCCTGCAAGGAGAAGGCTTCACAATAAGAAAAGAACTCTAAGGGAGTTGGAACCCCAGCAGAACTTATAATTTCAGCTAAATATTAGGATTGTTGGTAACAGAAATTCACAATTATTTTTAGGAACCTTGTAGAGAAGAGAATGGCTCTTCAAAAACTTATCCGTTCCTCATGCTGGTTCTATTATATGCGGCGGCAGCTGAGTGCACGCACGTGCGTATGTATGTGTATGTTTGTGTTTCTCATTATATACATGTATATATATATATATGTAGATGTAGACCATAACTTCGACCACCTACTATCCATGTAACGTGCTGTGTGTTCCATGTAAGTCCCACTATCAGGGCCACCCAGTCACTCTGCAAGAATACGGAATAAGCCCATAGATTTACAACAGTATGGCCGAACTCTCGGAATTGTGTTGAGATCCCCAACACTAGACCCTATAAACCGTAAACACTAAACCCTAGAGCCCTCAAACACCCCAACCCTAACATCCTGGGTTCACCAACCCTAAACCCTAAACCAACAAGTGTGTTGAGATCCCTATCCTGGGGTTCACCACCACGTTCACCCGGCCCATCATGGCCGTGCCCACCACGCGGAGCGTCACCGGAGCCCTTCCCGCGAGCCCGGAGCTCTGGCTGCTGGACCAGATGCCTCTCTCTGGACTTCAAAAGGGGATGGGGATTATGGAAAAGAAAATGGAAACTACTATGGTATATGGGGGTTATACCAGATGCCTGGCCCGGCTCCATGATTATATGGGGACTATACAGGGATTATACAGGGATGAAATAAGGATTATATCTATATATAGGGGTTATATAGGGATTATGGAAAAGAAAATGGAAACTACTACATAGTATATTGGGGGTTATATAGGGATTATGGAAAAGAAAATGGGAACTATTATATAGTATATAGGGGAAAGGAAAAGGGGGCTCCAAGAATGAAGGGGGTTGCCCGAAATTAGGGGGCAGGTACCATTTCCACTTTGGGCGGGTTCCCATAAGTAGGTGTCTAGTATTTTGGGGTCTTTATTGGGACCCACATTGCCGGTGCCTAGTAGGGAATGAGAAATGGATTCCTATAACTGACACTCTAACCGGTGCCTTCCCGCAGAGAAGGACCCAAAATTCGTGGGCGCTAAACCCTAAACTCTGAACCCCAAAACCCTGAACCCTGAACCCTAAACCGTAAACCCTAAGCCTCCACAGTCTCCGAAGCCCCCAAAGATGGCTGAGCCATCTTGCTCAACCAGCATGCCCGGGGGAATGATGATGGTCACGCTGCCCATGAAGGCCGTACTGGAGAGAGTCATAACCTGCTGCGAAACCCCCTAAACCCGACATCTCAATGAAAACCTTTGAAAACCCAGAGTTTAGGGGTTTAGGGGTTTAGGGCTTAGGGTTTAGAAACCCAACATCCCTCTGAATCTGAGTTTGTGCTCCCCAAGGAGCTGGGTGCTGGAACAAAGCCTGGGAGAAGTCGACTGTGGCGCCACCTCGGTAGAGAGCACGAGCTGCAGTACATGTGAGCTAGAACCTAAACTCCTAGTATCCTCCTTAGTAAGCCCTAGAGTAGGTGAGTAGGTCTTAGGATTTAGGATTTAGGGTCTAAACTCCGAGTATCCCCCTTAGTAACTCCTATAGCGCTCCTCTATATTATATTCCCCATAGAACTTGTTTTAAGGAGTTTAGACCATAGCTCATGTGGCCACCGGCATGCTTTACTTCAAGTCGTCCAAGAACATGATCATTTCTTCACAAAACATATGTTGTGCCTGCGACTTATCCCTACGGTATCCCCACAACCCGTTCGCATAACTCCGTCTCCCCGTGACTCTGAGGGCCCTACCCAGGTATGCAGATGCTGTGATCTCGCTGTCCGGCACCCAGCGGCCGTACTTATCCGCCCCAGAGAAGAAGGCTACAAAGCTGGACATGGCTACGACTTCTGCGGCGATCGCTCAGATCAGATTCCCTGAAGTCAGAGGCGGAGGCTACTGCTCCACTCCTACCTACTCTCCAGTCTCAGATTTTCCCTAACTAGTCTGAGCAAAAGAGTGCAGAAGGGCGACAGGCGATGCATGAGGCTACAGCAAAAAGAATGCAACAGCTGCGTTTAGAACACGAAGCAAACTGGGAGTTTCCATAAACTAGGGTCCCTTTTGGGAGCAACGCATATTGGGGCGTATATTGGGGTCCCCTATGTTGGGAAACTATCAAACAACTGGTAACTGGTAGCACCTGGCAAGGCACAGGATGCTGTACCAGGCCATCCTCCTTTGCGTGCGTGGCTGTTCCGATGTCGTAAACCTCTGCAGGAAGGGCTTTTACACAGCATGTACCTGAGTGGATTCTAAACACAGGCACCGTCATGCAACCCCCAATGTGGGATTCCTCCTGCAACGGCCCTTGCATCATTTCTATGACTACTATTTACTATGTACTATTACTATTACAAATATTATTACTATTACTCACACTATTACTAGTATTACTGTTTCTATTACTAGTACTACTTCTATTTCTACTACTATTTGTATTACTGGTCAAATTACCAAGCTCCGCGTCATCCCCGCCTCTCGCGCCGGGGCCTCTGGAGGACCTGTGGGGCGCGCCGCCATGTGGCCCAAGGGCCTGACAGAGTAAAGGGGGTTCAAATGGGAACCCCAAAAAGGGAACCCCAAGGTAGGAATACGGGGTTTAGGGTACAGGATTTGGGGTTTAGGGGTAGGAATATAATAGAATATGAGGACACTGGTAGGCATATTCCTATTATGTTCCTATTACATTCTTGGGGTTCCCTGTTTGGGGTTCCCAGTTAAGTCCCTTGACAGAGAAGGGGGCCAGCTGCCTTCCCGGGAAAACAGCGAAACCAAAGGATTCAAAGAACAATAGCAACAACAATGGTAGTAATACCAATAGTAGTAGTAAGTGTAATAATAGTAGTAATAGTAGTAG